TGTGTATAAGAGACAGCCCCCCCCCAATCTCCTGATTGCTGGGAAACGACCCCAGAGGAGGGGTTACCCTCCTGACTCTAATGATGCCTTCATCTTCATGGTCCCGTCTAGCTCTGCACAGGTAGAAGTCCCAAATACCTAAGCACTTATTGCTGGGTAAATTGCCACTGCTCTCTTGCCTAGTTCAGTGTGTACCTATCTTACAGAGTGTAACCAGTCCAAGTTCAGCTCTGGGCAGACTCCCAACATCCTTCTCAGCTTGCATACTTGCATATACCTATCAGGGACAGCAAAGATGACTGTGCCAAGACTCCATGCACCAAGCAGCTGCTGTGTTTGCTACAGGGCATCCTGCAGTGTATCTGTCTTCTCTGGAACTTGTAGTGACAGTGTGGCCTTTTAACTCATGTGGATCCAAGCTCTGTCTCACTGCTGATAAACAGTGTCTAGAAGGTATTCACAGGCATCCCTTTTTGAGGGAGTGGGGGTGGGGGGGATCAAGAGCATCTAGAGCATCACACATCTAGAGCATCCGCACCTTTGTCCCAGCAGAGATTCACTGATTTTGACAGACACTGCCAGACCACCTCTTCAGACCCTTCTCTCCATGACATGGTCCTTCAGCACAAGTTCATTTTAACAGAATTTGGATGCTCTGTGAAAGAGCAAGGATAGCCACAACGAAACTGATAGCATGGGTGCACTCTTCTATAGGTCCAAGTTTCTACTGTGTTTGCATCATCTCTGGTGGCACTGAGCATGGGTCCTGGTGTGAATGGATAGTTGCAGAGGAGAAGCTCCACTCAAGCTGAATGCACAACTTGGAGCCCCTGAACAAGACAAGCTTCAACCATCAACAAAGTAATGTCGAAGTTGTGCAGTTGCATTTCTGGACTGCCCTTACTGTCTCCATGGATTCATCTTTCTCTCACCAGGCCACCTAATGTGGACATCGGCTTTTTTCAGCTCATGTACCAGGAACACAGGGAGCAGGCTGGCCTGAGACAGCAGGTGGAAAGGACATACTTGACAACAGAACAAGTCACACAAGCTCGCTGTACAACTTCACATAGGACTAGAAGGTATTTGGACACTGCAGCAACAGGAAAGGCACAACATTTAAAGGGAATTTTATCCTTCCTTTTCTAGTCCTTTAACAATCCAATTTGCCAATTAGTGGAATTAATTCCAGCACATTTGCATCCTTTAACTTTTTCTTTTCTACTTTTCCCCACTGCAATACTCCCAGCTTCTCTCTTTGTCTCACAAGATATTTGTAGCTGATCTCCCACTTCAGCTAGAGAGGGCACAGCATGCAGCTTGCCTTGATGCTGATCTGGGCCAGCTGACTTAACACAGCACTAAGCTTCCGAGTCAGTCAGGAGGCTTTTTGGTCAGTAATTTCACCACTATTTGTAGGAAATTCATTAACTCTAGGAACGCTGCTAATTCATCAGCTCAATCAAGTTTGTCAATGTCCTGGTTCAGCCAGGATAGAGTAAAGTTTTTCCCCAGCAGAGAGAGAGGGGGAAGGGATCTCCAGCCGGGTTATTCATACCATGCTGACGTCAGGTCCAGGGGCGGAGCCTTTTAACTTTCGCTTCTGGTTTTGGTTTTTGCCATACACGTGGCGGGTTCGCTCCTTGACCATTTAGCAGTATTTCTCTGTATATCTTTTGTCTTGTTCACTGTTACTGCTGTTAATTGTTGTCACCATTGATACTGTTGCTGTTCAGATTGTTCTATCACTCTGTTGTATTAAATTTCTTGTTATTTTAGCCGGGGTCTGTGTTTAACTTCCAACCCGACCGGCGTGGGTGGGGGAGGGGCAAAGGCAACGTGTTCTCTCATCCCGGCAAGGATTAAACCTTGCACAGCCAACCAGGGTCAGGAATTATTTGGAATGGCAGAAAGACCAGACAGACATAATGATCATGCAAGATTTATTTCTTTAGGAAACCAGTCCAAACATAGTACTGCTAAAGCTAGAGAGCTGTGCTAGTTAACACTAACCCATTAATCTTCATAGCCCTCTGAACCACTGCGGGAAAACACAATGCTTGTTTCTAGCAACATGCTGGCTCAAGTACCCCTATGTATGAGGGTACCCCTGGGGATGAGTGGATTCAGAGCAGCCCTCCCTGTGGAGAAGGGACTTGGGGGTAGTAGTGGATGGAAAACTGACTATGAGCCAGCAGTGTGCATTCACAGCCCAGAAAGCTGGCCGTGTCCTGGGCTGCATCAAGAAAAATGTGGTCAGCAGGTTGACAGAGGGGATTCTCCCCCTCTATTCCATTCTTGTGAGACCACTCCTGGAGTCCTGTGTTCAGTTCCAGGGGCCCCAGCATAATACGTGGACCTGCTTAAGCAGGTGCAGAGGAGGCCAAGAAGGTGATTGGGAGCTGGAGCACCTCCCTAATGAGGACAGGCTGAGAAAGTTGGGGGTGTTCAGCCTGGAGAAGGCTACAGGGAGACCTCATAGCGGCCTCCCAGTACTGAAAGGGGCTACAGGAAAGGTGAGGAAGGACTCTTTGTCAGGAAGTGTAGGGGTAGGACGAGGGGTAACAGTTTTAAACTGAGAGAGGGTAGATTTAGATTAGATAAGAGGAAGAAATTTTTCACTGTGAGGGTGGTGAGGCACTGGAACAGGTTGCCTAGAGAGGTTGTGGCTGCCCCCTCCCTGGAAGTGCTGGATGGGGCTTTGAGCAACCTGGGCTAGTGGAAGGTGTCCCTGCCCATGGAAGGGGGTTTGGAACTAGATGATCTTTAAGGTCTCTTCCACCTCAAACCATTCTATGATTCTACGATTCTATAACTATGGCTGAGACACACAGCTTCCCCCTCTTCAACATTGTCTCCTTCACCATGTTCATCTGGGGCTTCACATAGTGATACTCCAGCTGATAGCATCAGAAGCCTATGTGTACATTTTTCTGTGGGGAATAACAAAAATACAGTTAAAAGAAAAATGAGCAATTCCTTTGTCAGGGACTTCACTCCAACTGTTAGAGTATCCCTGTCCTCTGTTAAACTGCACTTTCATATTTAATACAAAATACCTATTTTAGTGGTTGCAATGTGACAGGGCACTTGGTTCTTGGCTGACAACCTCATTTATCATCTTCAATTATTTCATGCAATTGAAGCAAATTTGAGAAAGGGGCCAAGCCTGGATAATTCTAACACACAAATTCCACAACATTCTTCTGATTCTCCTTCATTATTTGTCCCTATTAGAGAATTGGATTGGAAAGCCCAGTATTTCTACTTCCACAATCCTTCAAGTTTGCAAAACATTTTCCATCACATTGGAAAGACTGGAAAATGTTGGAGCATTAGGTTAATTAGGTAATTCAACAAAGGCCAAGATCTGATCTCCTTCTAGCACTGAAATTCTTGATCTTGCAATAAGTGTTATTTTTAATCAAGGATTTTTTTAAAAAAATCTTAATATTCCTTATTACCATAGTGCCCCACAGCTGGAATGAGTATTATGTATTCTAATACATGCTAGACTCACACAGCACATTGTGAAGTGACATAGTTCTTGTTAAGAAATAATCTAAATTCTGAAAGACTCTCTAGGAGTTTTGTATGAAGAATATGCAACTGCCTAACATTAGCACCTTTTTTTTTTTTTTTTTTTTTTTTTTTTTTTTTTTTTTCTGCTCATACTAAATCAGTCAGGAACCAGGACATGCAACTACTCTACTTAACCATCAGCATGATTTGAGAAAGAAGCATCCAGAACTGGAAAGCAATTTACAACACAGATTATGTAGCACATAATGATCAGAAGTCCCTACCACCACAGCTTTCCCAGAATTATGCTGAACACCTGCACAGAAGTGAGCAACAGAAGAATCAAAGAGCTGTGATGGGAACCAGCCTTCCTCAGAGCAGAGAACTTGGCTGCTCCCAGATTTCAGAACACCATTTTAAGGCCTCCAACAGAGCACCTACCTCAACATCGAACCAACCCCATGTTATCATCCACTCCCTGGTGCTACCACCAAAAATATTTAGATGTTTTCTACAACCTTCCTAAAACCCTGTTCTCTGTGAGTTCCCCAAGGGGTCACCTAGAAGTTGGGAATATCAGAGTCCATATGTGCTTTAAAAGCATCCTTTCTGCATGGAAGACTGCATGGAAGAAGCTGTTGCGGTGCACAACAGCTGTTTGGGTCCATAGGGGTTTGCAATGCCTGGGTTTGTATTCTGTGTTTGGCCTGATGCCAGCTGTACCTGACACAGTGTATTTAAGGTAAGAACCATACAAGGACCCCTGCTCCACACTCGCCCAGATCCCCAAAACGGCCTGGATTCATGATAGCTCTATGGTTGTTTTTCACAGAACTGATGAGCTGGCAATGAAGCTTATAGACAGGATACAGCTTTAGCCCCAGGCTTTTGACAGGATAAATATCCTAAAAAGTCCACTTTCCCAGCCCTAAAATAACATGATTTTATCACCCCCACTCCCAGTCAGTGAAGTCCTGATTACTTGCCCCCCCTGAGGTAAGGGCTAGGCACTATTACTGCCCACACCTACTTATAATTGGTAGTTAGGATTAAGTTCATAAAGTCAAACACCCATATCACGGAGATATGCAATTTGTCATCAGGGCAATGAAGAAACTAAATCAGACTGAAGCACCCTTCAATTAATCTGGAGATCATCAAAACATTTGCAGCTTTGGATGTGCAAACACAACTTGTGCTTTTAAAATTCTCATAGGGCATTTAAAATTGCTGTCCTGCTTTTCCTCAAGAGCTAATTTTGCAAATGTGAACTTTCTGAAGAGAGAGCTATCAGGACTAGCTCATTAGTCTAACCGAACTGATAGAATGCTCCCCACTCCCCATGCACCAATTCATTGCCTTGCCTACAGCCAGCCCTTGCTGTGCTTGCTCTGGTCCTTGGGGGAGGAGGCCTTGCAGAGGATGGGAGACAGACCAGAGGAGCAAGAGGTCATCTTCAGAGGAGGACAGGAGTAGTGCTTCTCCTCTGCGCATGCGGGATGAGAAGGTTTGCTCTGGGGAGGGCAGCAAGATTTTATCTTGATGCAGCTGAGCCAAAGGGATCCTGTTAGCACTCATCTCAAGCTCCAACGCATGGACTGTCCTGCACTACTTTAGCTCTTCACTGGTACTGTGAGGCATATAGTAGGACATCTCCTGAAGACTCAGTGTTACTGATTTTATTATCAATTGAAATTAAATTGGTTTTGATTTTAATATAAGTAGAGAATTATGGGATATTTTAGTAAAAATCATTTTACATTTATCGTATTTTAAATCTAGCAACCGACTGCTACTCTAAAATCCCCTGTACAGCCCTGTACCAAGGCTGAAGGGATTGGTCATAATTGTCTAGTAGGAACGGTTAGAGCCTAGGTAACAAAACACAAGGTGATTTGTAAGCTGATTTATAATACATACATAGGACTAGAAGAATGCAAGCAGTTGTCAAAGTCCAGGATTAATGGGAACTGAGGGAAGCAACCGTAACAGCTTGCAAGTACCTGCCAAGAATACTGCTTCCTTAAGGAAAAGGTAATTCCGGCAGGGGGAGATCGCGACCACCGACTCATGGACCACCTACTCACATTACACCCCAGACCCATTTCTAGACATTTCTAACCTCTACTGCGCAGAATCGGAAGTAGGAGGAGAATATGTTAATGATTTCTTGGAAGTTGTATGCTTATGTATGAAGACTTAATGAATATGTATGAGTTCTATATAAGGTGCATGATTCTGGTGCCTGGCACGTGTTGTTGGTGAGAGCACTCCCCTACACATCTAGCCGTCAATAAAGAAGTGTCTGCTTATCTGCATCACATCGATGTTGATAAGTTATTTTTATCCCGGTTTTCGGTGACAGTTTCTGGCGACCCAGATGGGACCTCGCTAAGAGAGACAGGAGGAGTCGGGGACCTAACTGGGAACACCCGTCAATGCCTGATCCATAAGGCTCTTCGCGACGTCCCCTGGATTTTGGTAAGACACTTCTCTTTTGTATTGGTATAAGTGGGTTAGAGTCCCACTTCAAGTGGGTAAGAGTCCCACCAGTAGGAGTGGGTTGGTGTCCCACCCGTGGAAAGGGGGTTAAAGTCCCACACAGTGGATTAAAGTCCCACTGTACAAGCCTGCCTGTCAGACGTGGCAAAAGCTGCGCAGGGTTGGTCTAGAGGATCCTCGTGTTTTGGAAGCCTAGGCGTCTGCCTGTAAGACATAAGCGAAAGCTATTGCAGGGTTGGACATTTGGATTTGGAAACAAGAAAACCTATATGCTATAGAGTTCTCAAAGGTAGTGCCTCTAACGGAAAGTTAGAAGTTTTCATGCACTCTATTGTGGGATTGGTTGATTTGTTGATTGAATATTGTGTAGTAATTAAGAAATGTGTTGTATTGTGTTATATACCTTTATTTGTCATAGTAATTGTAGAAAACTGTGAGTGTGCAATTGAGCACGAAGCGAGTGTGGAGTTCGGATCCGCAGTTCTGTTATCCCGCGAGGGGTGCAGCTGGGGAAGGACGAAGTGATAGACTTGAGCGAGTGATTGATTGTATATTGTATTAAAAAAATAACTGAACCATGGCATCTAAGCTGACTCATTTGTTTAAAAGTAAAAGTATGTGTAATCTGGCTGCAAATGACAAAGTTCTGAAAACTTCTCCGTTAGGATGTTTGCTAGCACATTGGGGAGATTTGCAAAAGAGTCAGATGATTGAATATCATAATCACCGGTGGCTTCTGTATACTTTGGATGATCAGGAAAAATGGCCCATGAATGGGACACTGAATTATAATACCATTTTGCAGTTAATGCTGTTTTGTAGAAGAGAAGGGAAATGAAGTGCCATATGTTGAATTATTTTTCTATTTAAGACAAAAGAGGATTGGCAGAAGGAATGTGAGTTGATTAGTAGGGATAATTTAGTAATGGCTATAACTTCTGATGATAAAAAGGTGAAAAAGTGTTGTTCAACATGTGAACTTGGAAAAGATTGTTTAAAGAAAAGAATTGCTTCTACTGAAAAGGATGAAGGGCCGGAATTAGATATATAGCCTCTTCAGGGAGAATGGCATCGGGGACGAGAATATAGAGAACAGGTAGAGGAAGTGGAGAGTAGTAGAATAGTGGACGTGGATTAAGGGCCGTCTGAGGTTGTAATTCATACCCCCTGTTTCTCGAAGAACTCAGCAGCAGGTACAAACAACAGCTCCCCTGTGGCAGGGAGTTGGCAATGACGGGCTGGTGTATGTGAAAGTGCCTTTTTCAGTGACGGATTTGATGGCTTGGAAGCAGGCAGCAGGAGTGTATAGAGAGGATCCTGAGAGAACAGGCAGAGTAGTAGATACTATCATCAGAACACAGAATTCGGGTTGGAGTGATTTACAGGTGATTTTAGCTAATTTTTTAGATGATACAGGAAAACAGATGGTATTAAAGGCTGGCAAAGCCCAGGCAGAGGTGGCTGTATTGAGTGGGACAACAGGTGGAATATTAGAGCAGAATTTTCTGTCTGGGCATCCGCAGTGAGGATCCAAATAATGTGGAGCACAGAGAAAGACTGAGTCGGTATCAGAAATTGATTTTACATGGAGTCAAACATGCCATGACTAGGTTTCTGAACTGGTCTAGATTGTATGAGGTGTGACAAGATAAGAATGAATCTCCCTCAGCTTTTCTGGAAAGACTAAAAGAAGCTGCCAGAAAAAATACTGATTTGAGAGTAGAAACCAAGGCAGCTCAGATATAATTGGCTTTGATTTCTATAGGACAATCGGTACCAGATATAAGAAAGAAACTGATTGTTACATTTTTGAAGTATAAAATCTTGGAGGAGTGTAAATCTGAGTATAAAACTCTCATTCTACCAGTCAGAAAACCATCGGGTGAATATAGGTTAGTGCAAGACTGAAGAGCAGCGAATCAAATAGTTAAGGGTATATATCCTGTAGCAGCAAATCCTTACACGCTGTTAACAGCTTTAAAGGAGACTTATCAGTGGTTTACAGTGCTTGATTTAAAAGATTCTTTCTTTTGTATACCTTTGGAGAAGGAAAACAGAAAATAGTTTGCTTTTGAGTGGGAAAATCCACAAACAGGACAAAGATGCAGCTGACATGGACAAGACTACC